AATACTAGTCAAACAATTTGATTTTGTTGTTGAATAATGAAGGAGTTACTATCGTTGCACTACTGCAACATGTGGTGTGAAGAAGAGAGTGGAAAGGTCTTCTGAAGATCCATCAATAGTTGTTACAACTTATGAAGGTGTTCACACACATCCATGCCCCGTTACACCACGTGGCAGCATTGGCTTTTTTCCAGAAACCACTGGCTATAGTGGTGGCTCCATTGGTGGTCTTGGTGTTGGTCTTGGTGGTGTTGCTAGTAATTCGTCTTTGTTTTTCCCAGAATTCAATTATCAAGTTCAACCACAACAATCAACCTACTTTCAGACACCAACATTACCACCTATAAACAGTTTTACTACTGATTCGTCATTGTTTTCAACTACTAATTCATCCCAAGAAGGAATGTTATCGCCATCAACTTCATCGTCTTTGGCTAGAGATCATGGGCTTCTGCAGGATATGGTGCCATCCCAAATGAGGCCAACAGACCCAAAACAAAATCAGTAGGAGAGAATGAGATCATTATCAATTGGTATGTTAGTTTATTTAACTGATGAATCTTAATTTAGATAGGAACCCTGCCTAGCCCCCCATCAACAATTAATTAATTATAAGAAACTTTTAATTTCCCCTAATTAATTAATGTTGTACAATGACTAGCTTATTAATCAACCATAGCTATGAACTTCTTTTTGTTTTATGGGGTAATTAGCTAGCTTTTTCATGTATAATATATAGTAGCAGGATTCTTTCAGTACTTGTTAATTACTTATATTTCTTAGTTTTTTAACATTCTGGCTCTTCATATTTGATTTGTATATTCGTTTATTTCGTTTCTTTTTTAGGGATGGGATATAATTTCTGTACCATTAAAATTACTGGAATTGCATGCATGTGCATTTGTTCTTGACATCAGCGGAATATATTGGACGTTTAGGGTTTTCTCATTCATCCGAGTTGATTAATTCGATCGAAATGTATATAAATGCAGGGTAAGAAGGAAGCCATAACCATAAATTGTTCTTAGCTTTGCTTTATTTGGAATATACCATCTTCTCTTCTTGGGTGAAATCCATCCTTTATACCTTCTTAACTTTAACCTCTCCCTGGGGAAAATAAGAGACAATTTTAAACCACAAATTGTTCATTAATTTCTTATTAATTATATCTAAGAGTTAGGCTAATCAAATTATCATACTAGCAGCTAGCTAGTTGTTCTCTTATCTATAAGTATAATATAAATCAATTTCTAGCTCTCCACTAAGGTAGCCTAGCCACCAAGATATGACCTTAACTATATCCTACATATGATCTTTAAGGTTGCCACACTACTAACTTTTTGAGATATTACCTTTTTTTTATGGTATAAGGGTCAAGTATTTGAAATAAACTGACCCGACTAATCCAGATTCATAGCTACCCATTAGGTTTTTCCATTCTAAGAGTTAATCAAACATGAACCTTTTGGTTAAGGGTGAACGGACCTCATCCATCCCGTTCCCACCACACCTCTTGATGGTATGTACGTAGCGAGCTAGTTTTGTTGATAAACTCTATATATAGGTAGAAGAGAGCTATATGTGAGAGTATCAATTCCATTGATGATGATGAGTTGATTATGTATGTAGGTGTAGAGGGTGATGTGTGTGTTTGATGGCTCAATGTTCCATTTTAAGGTAAATCTCAAGGAGCTTTCATGAGTAGGAGGAGGGGAAAGGGCAAGGGTGTATATATGTATATATATGATGATGAGTACTAAGTAGGAGCATGGCGTCAGATTTTGTTAAAGATTTTAAATGCATATAGTTCAAGTAAATGTACTTACTACAGCCATGTCTGACACTCTTTTTGCTTGAAATGTCCACTTCAATTCAATACCATATGCCACTTCTAGCCAAGCATCATTTCTTGCCTACACTATTCTGATTCCAACTTTGATATATGCCTACTCACCAAACTCCACACCTTCTATACCTTCCTATTTATTATATTCCCCATCCTTCCATATTATATATATAGAGAGCTTAACCAACATGGGTTATGGTGCAGTAGTGAGACTACTAATTCACCCTTAATCGAAGGTCTCGAGCTTGAGCTTTGAGTATGGAAAAAATCATGTTGGGAGCGTCACCTCCAAATGAGCTCTGTTGTGCGCGATCCAAATTTAGTCGGACTCCAATATGAATTCCGGTGGAAAATCAGTATATATATATATATATATATATGGAGCTTAATTCTTCAATGAGATTTTTTATTTGTTTATTTAAAGCAAATACAAAATTATGTGCATGTTACTATTTCTGTCATATCATGTGTTATGTCAAGATCGGGGAAGGGTTTTAATTAGAAGAGGAAACATCACATAATTTATCAACACCAAATCATCACATCACAATAATTAAACAACAAAAAATGACTAATTAATGCTGCTATACTTAGTTACATGTCATTTTTATAGTCTTAAAATCAAATAATCAGAAATGTTCTCATATTGGAAAGAACGTAAAAAGAACCTTTTAGAGAAAGACCTTTCCCATAATTAATGCCATATAATAATATATTCACTTTTGTCTGAGTTCAAATAAGTGGCTGATTATGCAAATAATTTAACGTTGCCAAACATTCGAGTCTCGTCAACTTTTTGGGATCCGAGCCTCGGATGGTGATTCTATCAGTTCCATTGAGTTTGAAATGTTGAGTTTGATCTAGTATGGTGGTTGGTTAGAGTCCCGAGACCTTAGGTTGTGATTCGGGTATTTAGATAAAAATTTAATTTTTGGCCTAAAGGAGTTCTCCTTCTTTTGGAAATTCGACAATTACATTGGCTTCAAAACATATTTTATGATAAATTTGCACTATTAATTTGTGTTTATAAGGTTCTAGATGACTTTCGAGGATCAAAAAGATATTTTGAAGGTTGATGATGCATACTTTTAGCGCGAAATCCTACAAACAAGCGCACACATTGTGCTTGTAATTAATTATTATTAAAATTAAATTGATTTCTATCTTCTTGATCAATATAGTTGCATGTTTCATTTTGATTCAAATTTTTTTTATCAGTGAATCCAAAAGAATAAGATAAATATGAAGCATCACCATTTCTATCAAGTAATTGACATGGATCAATAATTAAAGTCACACACATACGTTTAATTTGTAAACATTTTTAGTAGGTTTAATTTAGTCAAAATTAAGTAGTTACTTTAATTACTTTTTCTTAATAAGGAAACCATTAGATAGTGATCTTACAACCAAACAAAAAAATCATGTAGAATGCGATGGAAAAGCTAGCTTAAAAATTCAATCCACATAAGGAATCAGAATTCAACAAAAATAATTGGATTTCACTGTAAAGGGACATAAATTTTTAAATATTCTCTGCCAGTACACTACATTGAAATATTCATTGTAGCTGTATATTAATGTATTTTGTCCATTTTTTTTATTATTCTTATATCACGTTAGTGGCATTTTCCTGTACCTATGTTTCATTATTAATTTAGTTCAATGTTTATTTCTAGATTGGTGCGTGGAAAAAGAAAAGTTTATTGAATCGTTTTCATGTAAAATATACAAATTAGTCAAAAGGAGATCCCTTTAAAATGACTTACAGTAAATTAAAGAAGATCCTAAATTTTGACGATTTCATGGGGAATGCAACTATAAATTCTAATCACTTGAGTAGGAAGTGATTACACAAAATTAACAAATGATTTCTAAAACTTTTTTTAGCATAACCAATGTTAGACTTAAATGTTAAGTAAAGAATGAGAGCAAACAACACAAAATTCATTAGTTTAGAGTTTTACTATGCCAAATACATATATTTGGCACACTCAGATACACATATTTCTGATATATATATATATATGTGGGTCCAGTGGCGGACCCAGGATTTTCACGAATTGGGTTCAAGATATAAAAATATACCTAATATTATTTGTACGGGTTGGCTGGGAAAATTGAACCCCCCTCAACCACTAGGCTAAGCTTCAAACTTGTGTTAGTGGGTTCAAAATTTAATATATACATATAAAATTTTTAAAACTGATTAAATATACATATATATACAGTGTTATTTTTCAACGAAGTGGGTTCATATGAACCCACTTGAACCACTGTAGGTCCACCCCTGTGTGGGTCTAATTAGGTGTTATTTGTTATGTATACATTGTATTCAAGCATGATTCACATGTATATATTTGAGATACACTAACTCTCTCATTCATCTCTCTCCCTATGTATTTGTATATCAAAATGTATCTATAGTGTGATTTGCATGTATTTCGGATATATCGACTCTCTCGCTCACCTCTCTCCTTTTGTATTTGGTTCAAAGATATATATATATAGTATCTTTGATACATATATCTTATTTGAAATCTGAAGGAGTGGTGTATCTGACATAAAATTTGGTACACAACTATTAATTAGTAAGACAATTTGTAATAACTATAGAGTGAATTAAAATTTATTGTTTGAATGTTTGTGCAATTAGGTAGCTTTTTCAAAGAGTAAAGGTTTTGGACCATAAATCTCGTATAAAGTATAGAAACCCCAAAAATTTGGACGTTAATTACATCATATCCCGAAGGTTTCCCAAATTACAATAATTTTGAATTCTTCAGAACTCGTGAATACATTGCTCTTTCCTCCGTACATAGCAAACGATACATAAGTTATATATCAAATACATATGTTATGTATCAGATACATAACTATAATCCATATTCATACTGATTTAGGTTGAAATAATTTGGATTATGTATCAACAATAACATTTGTATCAGATACATTGTACACAAACAAATTTATAATGTATCTAATTAATAGAGGTGAAGTGATACATCCGAATGTTAAGAAACAAAAGAAAAAAGGGGTATTTTATAATTAATTCAAATGATAGAAATTTTTAGAGATTATATTATTTTAACTCGTCTAACTACCTAGTTTTCCCTAAAATCTCAAATGCCTTTTTGACAACCTATTTGGGTTAATAAGCCCAGCTGAAAAACCTAATTGGGCTATAGTGAACACTTATCAGGATTTTGATCCAACTGTTAGAAATACATCCTTCCCGGAGACTACCCACCTTCTTCCACATCCGCTTCGCCGCCGCCGAGGTACCACCCTTTTGCCCCTTCTTCCCTGTTTACGCAAAATTAAAGTTTATTTTTCTTCTATTTTTCTTTAATTTCTTCAAACATTTACTCTGAAACCAGAATATCTTTCGAACTTAGCTCCAACATTTTTGATATTTTCCCAAAATCTTCAGAATACGCATAGCACACACACCCAGAGGCGTATCCAGGATTTTGAGATGATGGGTGCACTATTACAAAAAGGTGAATCTAAGATATAAATTTGATCGATTTAACATTCAGATTCTTATCACTAAAAATTATTAAAATTTTAAAATTGTAGGTCTAAAGTTATTTTTACCTATCCAAACCACTTAGAGAGACATTGCCCAATTTTAAAAAGAAAAATAAAACAAGATAACTAAAAGATTCAAATTTCTAACCTCACTTAGAGAGGTGCACCCAACATAATCGCACGGTATAATACTTCAAGTGTGGGTTCACATATCTATATTTAAATATTTTTTTAAAAAATATAACGCTACTATATATGATTTCAGGAGGGGAGCATGGGTTCACGTGAACCCGGTGACCCCCTCCTAGATACGCCTCTGCACACACCTAGTTTGTTTTTTATATGCAAATCTGATATAAAATTGTTATACTTTACACATAATGTCGCTCTAATGCGCCAGTGCTTTCAATAAACCTCTAGTAAATAGAGGGTGTTGGATGTACAAAGATTTGCTGTTGGTGTTGAAGCTCTTTCATTTTACATTAAAGTTTCCTGCATTTTGGGAGCTAGTTAATGATGTCTAGAATATGATGGATGAATAGGAATCATTGATTCATCCATACACAGAAATAAGGATTTATTCATCCATACACAAAAATAAGGATTTAAATAGTATTTTCTTCTGATATGTGTTCATCCCAAATGTATATGTGGTTGTGCCTTAAATATGATTCATACCTAAAGTACATACTTGTGTTACTATAGTAAACAGAAAAACATAGCTAAACTAATTCAAAAGTTGCAACAATCATCCTTCTGTTTAGTTTCTGTCAAAAACTAACGACATACACACGAACCACATCATTTTCTCCTTTAATTTCTCAATTTGTGTCCCTCCTGTCCAACCATCTTTCACCTTCTTCGGTCACATGTAAAAAGCATTAACGACTGAAGAAAATTCATCACATAAATACTCATTATGCACAGGGTAGAATCACTGAGGTGTAATAAAAAGGTAAAAGATGGAGTAGTATTTCTTTTGTCTCCTATTTAAAACATATATACTGTTCAGCTTATTTTTTTTTTTTTCTTTTAATACTACCATACCTTTTAATCAACACAAATTACGATGATTTATGACGGAAACAATTAGTGAATTTTATATTAATTCGTGTCATACCAATACTTTCAATTTCTTTGGATCATTTTACCAAACAGGTCAAAGGCATTTTAACACTAGCTTAGAAGATCTTTGGTATTGTTTGGTTATTTGTAGTTCCTTTAGAAAATAAGCTTATCTCTTTCAAGATGAAGAAGATGAAGAGAACTAAAATTAATTAATGTCACTCGTCAATCACATTAACCAATTGAAACACTGCTGGATAGAGAAAAAATATGGACTTGATTTTTTGCTTTTATTTGTGAAGCACAACTATATATAGCGTAGAATACAATATGTGACAAAGCTATAGCTCTTCAATTGGTAATGGTGTAAAGAGTTAAGTATATGGTTTCTCTATCCAAAAGCTCTAGGCTTTTTCAGAAGAAAAGAAAAGATTGTTGAAGACGAAAGGGAAGAATAGAATAGGGATATTCGAGGTGGGGGCGGTTAGTTTTTGACAGAAACTAAACAGAAGGGTAATTGTTGCAACTTTTAAATTAGTCAAGAGATGTATTTTGTTTAGTATAATAACACAGGGATGTATTATAGGTTTGAGTCATAGTTTAAGTGTCTTTAGCCTAAAACTCGTTTAGAGTTTACTAAACTAAATTAATTCTAATTATCGAAACATGAAATAACACTATATAATTATAAACTAACTAAAAATAAAGGAAAGCAAATAATGAACTCTAACCAGGAAAGAACAATTCTTTATGTTATCAATGAGATGAAATCGATCTTGGGTTATGAGCTATCTAACAATCACGTTATCTAATTTACTCATTAACAAGGTTAATATTACAAATAAGAATCCTTTGAGTCTTTAATAATCACTTGTTCGAATTAGTTTCACACCTATATGTCATGGTTGTGAGCCTTAACTTGAATGCATTTCAACTTTGGTAAATTAACCAAGTAAAGCAACTTAGGTATATGTCTATCCTAAGTGCATATCCTCTCCTCGATGCCAAACGTTAAGAATATGTCCTATTTAATCTTTTTGCAATTTTGAACTCTCACTTTCAAGTTCAATTCATTAAATAGTCGGCCAAACAATCGAATAATTAAGCTCATGATCAAATAAATAAATCAATATAATAAACTAATTACTTGAAATCAATATTCAAATAGTAACAATCTTGAAAGGAAAAAATGAGAAGTTAATTCCATATAGACATGGAAGCAAAACAATAAATCTCACAATGACTAATAGTAGGGAGAAGAAAACTTATTGAAAGGCCAATCGGGAAATGAAAAATCGTACTACAATAACTGTAAATAAGCATTTCCTCCTCGTTTTCACTTTAATCGATTTGTCCATGTGACGTTTTGTTTTAGAGAAGAGGTCAAGAGGTTAAGTGGTTTTTGATTGTTGTCTTTTGTATAACGTCAAGAGAAATGACATAGATAAGAATTAAGATCATTGCTTAAAGAGTTTCATTATCAAATTGATCTCGAAATGGATCCCGATAGTAGCTACTGCCCAAAGGTGCTTTATGAAGGGCGGTCCACCATAGTGAAAGTACAATTGAAACCCAATAAACTTTGGCCTCCATGGCAACTCTTAGCTCTCCCAAGGTCAAAGGTTGTCTAAAAACTGTGTTTAGTATGTACAGTTTAGAATATATTTATAGCTAGCGTTTGACCATAGATTTCCAAATATTCTTGGCAAATATTATTTGGGTGAAAATTTGGGTGAAATTTCACCATTTGTTTGGCCATAGTATTTGAGAAACATATTTCACATTTTTAGAAATATATGATTTATACCATAAGTTTTAAAAACTATCAAAACTAATCATAAGTTTGTATTACAAGTCAATTGGATCTTCGTTGCAAAAAATAACAAGTGGTGTCCATGACAATGAAGCAATGTGGTAGTTTGGAGTGAGTGCAACAAGCATCATTCCATACATCGTGAAGTAGATAAAACACATGACTTTGTTACCCTGTGTCGATTGTTCATCATTTTCATCAACAATCATATCATCACTTTCATATTCACTAAATATTTCATCACTACTTTGGTGTTCATGTAAAAAGGTTATGTAATATAACGCAAACAACTACTATAGAGGGTGTTTTTGTAAAAGATAAAAGTTTGGTGTAAAATTTCAATTTTTAAAAGATACCAAATAATGAAATTTGGCCCAAATACTAGAAAAAACTAGTATTTGGGAATTTGGGATATTTGCCAAAAGTATTTGTCAAATAATGGCAAATTGTATGGACAAACATTATTTGCCAAATTTTTCCCCGAATATTACTTGGGAAATCTATGGCCAAACGGGTCCATATAGTACAAAAAAAATCTAGGTTTTAAAAACCAAATCAAAAATCTAAATCAGAATAGGAAATTTTTTGGGCATTATGGGTGGCGCGTCTACTGGTGGTCTGCTTGGTAAATTGAAGTTCAGAAACCACTACTGGGCGTGGCACCACCGCGTTGCATTGGTGGCGCACCAGATGAAGGTTACGAACTGGGAGCAATAATTGTGATTCCACGTAGACAACTCATAGTGCACTTTTTAAAGCTGCTTGCTTCAATTCATTTCAATTTGCACTTGTTACCTTTGAAATATCTTCTTTTCAATCATTAAGCCATTTTGTGTCATATTATTTTGTCTTTCATCATGAGTCTTCTTTGATCTTTTTGTAATTTTAATATTTTCACCCAATTTTGCTGCAAAATCCATCTCTAATGTATCGACAAAGTAAAAATACAATATTAAACGCGAATCACTGTAGTTAATACTCAAACAACGATTAGAAGTACTAAAATGTTAAGGCAAATAATAACTAAATATCTGCATTTTAGGCCGAGCATCAAAATGAATTAATGAATGATGTTCTAAAGGTCCAATAATTACTTTTAGCCCCATTTTTTTGTGTCTAGAATTCTAGATCATATTAGAAATGGCTTTAGATTATCACTGTACAGTTTGTTCGGTTTATGATAGTGTGTTGTGTGATTATTCTTCTAATTACAATATTTTACGTTTGAAAACCCTTGGAGAAATTCTACCTTCACCACTGCTTGGAAGTATTTGTTACATAAAAAATTGAATCAATCAATTGACTATGTTTCAAGCTGGAGTTGGCTAATTGATGAGATTGAATGGTTTATCAAAATAATGAATTCTCTGAGGTTAAGGGATTTTACATTATTGTAGGCAAGATGAAACTTATATGGGGTGTTATGGACTACCAATGCTTGCTTATCTCATTCTTCTTGTCATCATCCTCTTGTTTTCAGGACCTTTTCTGCACTTCCAAATTTTGGTAGGTACTATTTATTCAATTCTCTATCAAATTCCATAGTTATCATGCCAAGTTGCAATTTTTGTTACTAAATATGTGCAAGTTTTAGTTTTCTCGAGTCCTTTTTTTTATTCAGCGATTTTCTATTGAGCCAATTTTCTTTTCATGCTTGTGATTCTAAAATCTTTTGTCTTCAGTTACCCTGAATTTCTTGCATACTTTTGGTTTCCATACTAGTTTTATTTTTTTAAAATACAAAAAGATAAAAACTTTTAATTGATATTCAAAATGAAGTATGTGCTTGTAGTCTACAGAGTTATAGGACAATGCATTTTTTCTGATTGAATATAATGTGATGAGTGAAGCTTCTCCGACGTGACCTCCTTTTTCCAATCACTGATAATTTGAGGTGTGGAGATAACTAGGTTTTAGGTACATACTTTCCAATTGACTAGTAAGTTGCCTTAGCTTAAGGAGGATTCCAGAAGCTAATGATACGATCTTTAAATGCTGAAGAACAAGATAACAAGAAATCGACAAACAAGATAGACTGGCCACACTGTTCCTTGGTAAATTGTATGCCTTTCATATTGGACAATCCAAACTGACATTACGAATTTTATCTTTCATACGCTCTAGCTTTAGTTTGATACTTTTTTTATTGTGGAATTATGTGCTTCTTTGCCAGTGGTCTTCATCAACTTTTTTAAGTATGCAAATTTCTTGCTTTTATCCACATGATAATGGACTCAACTTTCCTTGTCACTACACAGCCCCTGATGATAAGCAAAGCACCAACTCATTTGAGTCTACTGAAGACTTTGAAAGACTGCTCTTTGGTGATAGTATGGGGAACCGTCCAAGTTCAAACTCCTTTTTCAGAAAGCTTGATAGGGTAGAAAAGGCTTATGATACATCTGGGTTGGGCTCCACGTTCAGTTCTGGGAAAGATCTAGTTTACTGAATGGTCTGGATGAGAGTTTTGATACGTTATCAGATGGGATGGATGGTAAGTTGAAGGAAGAAGCCAGATATTTTGAGTTTGATCCTGATGAAGTAGAGAAAGATGATTATGCTTACAGAGCAGATATGACCTTTTGGCCAGGGAACACTTGTAAATTCATGGTATGAGAAATGAGGTAGCATTTCTGGCGTGCTTTTAGTATCGCGAGTGTCATTTCCGTATGAGGATACGTCTCATTGTGGTTTTTGTATATTTTGCACCCATTGGCGTTTCAACAGCTTCCGTCAAACTTTCAAATGTTTAGGTGTGCTAAAATTGTATGGTCGAAGTGCTTATTTCCTAGTACTCCTTGTTTCAATCTTCATTCTCTGTGGCAAGAGCAAACTTATGGATGGCATTAATTTGTTGCCGTAACTCAACCTATTCTCTATGGTGCTGCCATGTCCACCTCTAAGCTATTCATTATTATCTGCAGGATCTTGATCTTAGAAAACCAGGAGTTTGCAAGCCCTTTAAAAGGGATGATTGAAACTACAACAGAGGAAGTTTTGCGCAAAGCTGGTTTCAGGGTTGGTATTCTTGGTTCTGCATCACTTTGACCATGTATGTCTTCAAAAGTTATCTGTATATGCACCCAAATATCTGCATGTGGAGACACCCTCCAGCACGTATATTGCTTATTTAATATACTAGCATCAAGTTTCTCTGCTGGTCAAATTTTCAAAAAGGTTACTCTTGCTGGTCAGTTTATTGGTACTGAATATCACATTCCCAAGTACTGGATTGATTCTTATTGCCTTGTAAGTTTGGCCTAACGGAGTTATCTGATTTATACAGTTAAACATATTTGCAATACAGAACGTGAGGTTCCTAGCTAGCTTCATCACGGAGGCTGGAATTCTCCTCAAGAGGAGCAAGGTTTGTAATCAAATCTATCGACTAATACTGGTGACAGAACACATGGAATGTATTTTATTCTTTCTTTTTGGTTATGTATAGACTGGAATTAGTGTCAAGGCTCACAGAAAGATTGCCATGGGGATCAAAACTGCTAGAGCTTTTGGTGGTCTGATGCCGTTCACCACTATGGGAACAAAACATTTTGTGTTTGGCAGAATAATGGAGGACCTTGATGCAGATTATGAATATGCGATGTACGATCCCAATTTTGTCAATTGGGAACCTCTTTAAGCCTGAAAAGATACTATAGTTTTAATTGACCATGTGGTTTGTCCTTGAGAATGTGTATGTATTATCAGCTAGTTATGGTTATGAAAAGATGCTTTTTTAGCTGAGATTTTGTTTCAAATTACATACTGCTTCAAAGGACTTCTCTACATAACACATAGGTTTCATTTCATTGTACATCAATGATTTAGCTGTTGGAGCTCTCCTTCGTTGGTGTTAATTTTTGTAATATTAGCTCCAAAGTGTAATTCCGATAAGTTACATAAACAAGAAGTAATGAATAGCAAATCATTTTGTTCAGTAATCACATGTTGCAAGATCTGAGAGCAGTTGGTATTAGGTGGATTGTTATACACCATGGGACCTCTCATGTAATGTTCATTTCCAATTTGACTCATTAGCCTTGGACTGTGTCTTCTTCTCAACTGCTCTTCCCTTTTTCTGTTTGCAGTTAACAATTCCTCTATTTAAGGCCTCAACTTTCAGTGTTAACTTAAAAAAAAACAACTTTCTCATTAAGTTACTGTTGAAATTTAATGGCTTCCTTCTACTTAGCTTCTTTCTGCATGATGCTACTGATCAAGTTTTCAGTAACATTTGCTAGCGGAAATGTTGTTTCAAACAAGTTGGAGAAAACATGCATTGATGGTGTCACCATCACGTTAAGTTTTGGTTTGTACCTAAACAGCTGCCCAGAAGCTGAAGCTATTATCTTTTCATGGGTGGAAAGTGCAGTGTCCCAAGACCCCAGAATGGCTGCGTCTTTGCTTCGTCTTCATTTCCATGACTGTTTCGTTAATGCAAGTGACACATTATTTCTTCTGTCTTTTTTTTTGTGCGTAAATATTTTCCATGTTTAATGTTTATGTTGAATGTATTTCAGGGATGTGACGCATCAGTACTCCTGGACGATACCCCTAATTTTAGCGGAGAGAAAACAGCTGGACCAAACTTGAACTCATTAAGGGGTTTTGAAGTGATTGATAACATCAAAGCTGATCTAGAATATGCTTGTCCCCAAACTGTATCTTGTGCTGATATTCTTTCTATTGCTGCTAGAGATTCTGTTGTCCTGGTATATCCTCTTTCTTTAAAATGACTCTGAGTTAAAATAAGAGAAAATGCTCAAATATGCCATCGAACTTTGAGAAAAGACTCATTATGCCATCAGTTAAAAGTTTGGCTCATCTATGCTATTTTCATTTGAGAAAAGATTCATCCATGCCATTATTTGTTAATTGAATGACATTCTTAAAAAATGATTTAATTAAAGACGTGATCAAATCATAATTGACCACGAGTAAAAATGGTTTTGCAAAATCGAAACTTTTTTCAGTTAACAAATAATGGCATGAATGAGTCTTTTCTCAAATGGAAATGACATAGATGAACCAAACTTTTAACAGATGACATAAATGACCGCTTTCTCAAAGTTCGATGTCATATTTGAATCTTTTCCCTTAAAATAATGTTTTTTGAATTTTCGACTAATGCATGCATTGCAGTCAGGAGGCTTGGGATGGCAAGTGCAAATGGGGAGAAAGGATAGCTTAACAGCAAGCAAAACAGCAGCAAATAACAACATCCCAGGACCAAACTCAAATATAGCCACCCTTGTTACCAACTTTCAAAATCTTGGTCTTTCTCTTCAAGATATGGTCACTCTGTCAGGTGCACATACAATTGGGAAGGCTAGATGTGCTACATTTAGCTCCAGGCTAAACAACAATAACGCGGGCGTTAGCAATTCAGAGATGAACTTGGATTTCTTGCAGTCACTGCAACAACTGTGCTCAGCTAACAATAACACTACACTAGCAAATCTTGATGACATGACTCCATCAACGTTCGATAATCACTACTACGTTAATCTTCTATCAGGAAAAGGTTTGCTTGTTTCTGATCAAGTCCTAGCAACTGGAGATGATGATAACACTAGAGAAATTGTGCAGAATTATGTAGACGATCCATCTGTGTTTCTTGAGGATTTCAAAAACTCCATGCTCAAAATGGGAAGCTTACCACCACCAACAGGAACAAATGGCGAAATTCGCGTTAACTGTAGGGTTATTAATTAAAGTTGGATAGCCCAATTTGTAACGTTGCTATTACTATTGATATCATTCTATATATGCTATGCGTGTTAATTTCTTCTCTTTAAACACTAGATTTTGATTTGTTTATTTCATTTAAATTTAAGATAAGTTAATAAATAGTTGGATGACTATATAATAGCTCCAATGTCACTTATAAACTTAAATAAGTATATCAATACTTTACTAATCAAAAGCTAACTTAACTGAACTGTGATATATATAGTTTCACATACGGGAGGTGAAAATAACTAAATGACCGTATTTGTGTATGTTCAGTAGTGTTCCATTTAATCTTATGTCATAGTTGTAGATCGAGGAGGAACATTGCCCAGATCCAAATTAGAGTTTGACTAAATTAACTCAGTCAATCTTATTACCGAACTAATTAAAGGGGCGTATTCTAAAATATGAAAAGGAAACTGAAATAAAAGATTGTTGGAAATAGCAATTGGGTCTGGTCCATTCATAAAGAAAGCTAATTAATTCGTTAGTTCATTAGTTGTTCTCCTAATAAATCCTAGTCTTTAATGTATAAATACATCATTATGGTTGTTTAAAAAAAGACCGTTGTTTCCAACATAATATGTATGAAGGCTACGGTTAGCTATACAAGAGAGAATACCCTCAGCATCATTTAGGATATTTAGGTTGTGGAAGAAGGGTAATCATTCATTTTGTGAAGATCCCTAACGATCGGTGACACATATCGTGATTGAAGCAGATTCAATTTATAAACTAGTAGTTATGATTCAATATTGCATTGGTATCAGAGACATATGCTCGTGTTTCAGTTGTAGACATGTTTTGTATGCAATACATGAAAAATAAGGCTTTTGAGTAATCACAGATTTTTATTGCAATATTTCAATTTTGGATCTGCCTAGTTCTTGCATGAAACCTTAGGAATTTTGTAGCGTTGAGATATTTCCAACAAAATATATATCATAAAAATTGGTCTTCTGAATTTTCGAGTGATTAAATTTTTAGATCTAAAATTTTATTATCACAAATTTAACCTAAAAAATTCAACGATCCATGTTACATGCAATTTTTTGTGGGATTTGAGTTGGATAATCTATCACTCATAGGTGGCTTTTTAAACAAAATCATATAATCAATTGTAATTATCATTAAAAAAAAATTAGGTCAAATTTCAAGAAATTATGTTAGGGGTTTGTTTAAAAATCAATCAACATTTGATCATATATAATTATATATATATATAGATCATTTTTGAACTATTTTCTCAGAATGGGTGATCCTATGTCCCAAAATGAGTTTAAGACTTTAATAAATGTTTTTACCAAATTAACTACGCCTAAAAATATTTTTTCCTTTCATTGAAAAATCATCCGACTCGTTAGAGATAGAAATAAATAGGTTTTTTTTAAAAAAATACTACATTGATGAGCATCCCGGAACTCAGCATTGGTGAGCTCTCCCTGAGGGGGTTGCACTTCTGGTGCATTGGGAACCTCTTATTCTTGAGGATTAACATTCCTCCTAGAAGGACGTCCTCGAACTGCTCTTCGTGGAGGCATGATCTGAAAGATACGCGTAAGCACGAGTTAGAAGGAAACTTTTATAAAGTTGAACTCTATTGCACGAAATAGAGTAAGAAAGAAGTAAAATGTTTCCTAAATGTTGTAGCCTCCTAATTATAGATGTGGTGCGCTTCAGGACTCTACACACACAACTTCATAGACATTCTAGGACTCTTGGACTCTGTGCTTTGATACTAAGTTTGTCACGCTCTGAGCCTACACCCTGGACGTGGTGGCATTCGAGAACCATCATTGGTCCCCAAGCGAACCCTTGACCTGGCTCACTACTCAGCGGAAGACTTACTCAACAAAACAAAAACTTTAAATGCAAAGATTAACTCAAATTATCTCAACAATAGATAACTCAGAAATGTCTGGAAATATTCAAATAGCCATAAGAAGGCAACTCAAGTCTCAAAGCATCACAAGGAAAATAGGGAAAGACTTCTCAACTACTACTATCTATGAAGCCTCTAAATACTACGATAGATGTTGGGACAAGACCCACAACATCTTAATAAAATTAAAATGTAAATGTAGAACCTTCAGGAAAGCAAGGAGGCTCACCAAAGCTAACGGGAATGAAAATGGTATCAACAGAGCGATTGTTGATGACCCTGAACACCTGTATCTGCATCATAAAAAGATGCAGGTCGAAAGACGTCAGTATATTGAATGTACGAGCATGTAAGAGGAAAACTGAAAGCAATAGATGACTGAACTAACAAGGCTGGAAGGAATACTCACCTCAACTCAACTCAATATGTAAGAAACAATAAGACATGCAATATATAAAACCTTTAAAAACAGTAGATATCAAGTCTGTATGTATAAAAATACAATAATAAACTCTTTATTCATATCTGGGAGATTTTTTAACCGATAACCATCACTATGAGCTACATGATGATACATCGTTTCACCCACACTTTCAGAACTGTCCTATACCTTGCTGAGGTATAGAACACCTCAACTATGTGGATCCACTAAGTTGTGCTTAAAAGCAATAAGGAATCATCTAAAAACTATGATCCTTTACCCATGTTGGCAGACATGGTTTATGAAGTATTTTGAGTTGTCTGAACTCATCCCCATATCGGTGCTCAATACTACTTTCAATAATATATATATAACTCATGTTCAAATGTTTGAAACATAACTCTTTCTCAAATTGAGGTTATTACTCAAAAGATCCTCTTAAAAGAGGTAATACTCTGAAACTCCATTGAACTTGTAAACTCATTAGATATCAGTGTTTCTCTCTTTTAAATGTAAAAGTATTACATAATTGGGAATATTTAGCCCCCTTATACTTATTTTGAAATATGAAACTCATATCTCCTCATCCTCATTTAATCAAGACTTAATTCAAAACTATAGTTGATTGCAAAAAAGTTCTCAATTTTGACTCAAAAAGACCTCTTGAACTTTCCTCTTAACTTTACTTTGATTTGAAATGTAAATTAAGAGATGTGATTAGGATATGTATGATCTCTCAAGGATTAATGAAGATTTTTAGAGTAAATATCAAGAAGAGAAATCCGGTACAATGTGAGGGAACACACACGTAAAGAAGGACAAAAGGGTAAGAGACTAGGAGACCCTGGCTCACTGAATGGTGCGGGGCGCCAGCCCCAAAACAACTGAACAATGTTTGGGGCGCACTGAGTGGCATGGGGCGCCAACTCCAAAACTACTGAACAATGTTTGGGGTGCACTGATTAGCGCGCCACACATGGCCCCAAACTATTGGATAGTAGTCCTGGTGTTATGGTGGTGCGTTGCCCCATGCCCCTACCAAGAAATTTGACGAATTTTCTTGCTCAATTTCAAGGCCTAAATCATCTATAATCGAATGATTTCCTCCAAACTTATTTTGATTCATAAAACTAACACAAAATCAACAAAATCCCACCCAAAATCCATCAAGAACAACGCTCATTCGTAAGACCCTCACCTCAAGAACTCAAAAACCTCCATTGTTAAAAGAATGGGGTTAAAACTCAAGAATTTTTCAAGAAACTCAATCAATCAACTTCAAGAATGAATTCATGGATGAAATTACATGATTTTGCGTGAGGGCGAACAAACCCAACACTATGAGAGCTTACATAACTCGAATAACACTTGTTCTTGGTGAAATCCTCAAGTTCTAATGCTTGAAACCCTCTTCATTTTCTTCTCTTGAAACCCTTCTCTCAACCTTAATCGTTTAAGAACGTGGAAATAATGGTCTAAATCATATTAGACCCTTATTTTGGTGAGAAAAACGTTTTAGGCATAGTGGGTAAAGAAAAGACCAAAATACCCCTTTCTTTAAATAGATGGAAAGCCTTAATTAGAGAGGCTGCACTCACACGGGAATAACTCCTTCATCCGAGCTTGTAATTTAGCAAACTCAATGGCATTGGAAAGAGAAATCAAAGACCTTCGATTTGATACCTCATGGTCCACCTTACTCTTTATGTTCTAAAAGATATGGCCATTTGAAGTTGACCTAAAAATTTAAAACCAAAGTTTAACTTGTAGGAATCTCTAGTTGGCTTTTCGAAGTATGAGATGTTACACTGCTTTCTTTATTTTATTAGTATAAATAGTAGTCTTTTCATTTTGTAAGACTTCAATTATAATGATTTTGAATGTTGAATGAAGAAACTCTTTCAAGAGTGTAGTTTAAGGGTGGAATCCCTTTAGTTTAGTGTAGATTAGTGATGGGTGGATTCCCAATTGTTGATTTTGGACTTCTTAACCTTGAGTTCTCTTGAGATTGCTCATTTGTGGTTTTCAATTTGAGTTGTTTCTTTTCGAATTCAAGTTTCTCTCTTCCTTGGTCGATTGTTTATTCAATTAGCCTTTCTTTCTTCCCTTCTCATCATCTCTTATTTCTCATCAATCTTACTTTTGTGTTGTTTAATTCTACATTTGATTTCAATTGGTTTCATCCCCAATTGGAATTCTTATCACCAATACTTGAAAAACAGCCCTAAACTCTGCATTAGTCACTTGCTCGGCCAAAGGGTCGATCGAAACTTGAGGATCTTCTCGTTCCACATTCTCATTCACATTCCTCCTAATGTAAGCTTTTCGAGGGGCCATATCCTGAAAAACATCAGATAAGGATTATGAGAAGGACATATAAAGTTACACTCTATCGCACGACTTTAGAGTAATGAAAGAAGTGGAGTTTCCTGATCATCTTATAGTTTCTTATTCATAAATGTGGCATGCTTCACACTCATGAACAAGACTCTACTCGACGTGGCTTAGAGACTTCCTAGGACCTTTCTAAACCTTGTGCTCTGAATACCAAATTTTTGACAACCCAAAGTACACCCTAATTGTAACACGGTGTATAGGACCCCGAGAGGCCCTACACAAGCTTCTTAGCATGCATCATACAAGATAATAGAATTTAAAGAGTTCAAAAGACATTTTTGAATTATAAAGAGTTTGGCAAAAGTATCGGAAGTCTAACATAAGTCTCAAGCAATATATCACATCAAAAGAGTGATTGGGACGTAACCCTTACATCACA